CTTCCTCCTGGGAAAACCTTTTGTGCATGCATGGCACCAAAAAAATTGCTGGTGGGAGGGAGCTTAAAAACCTCAGAAGCTGTCGTATCATGAAACCCGGACGTAAGTTGGGGGTTTTTTTAATGCACAGAAAGCGTCGTAAGTTGAAACCGACGTAACATGGGCCCGTCGTAAGTCGGGGGCCCACTGTATATTCATTTTAATTACAGCTCCACCTTGCTAAGCTCAGAATCCATCATATAAGTAAAAAATCTCCCCATGTCACACTTTGTAGTCTTTTTCTGAATTCAGGAACATATTGAATTACAAATCTTGAAAACTACTCCATTCGTATACCTATTTGAAAAACATTTCTTATTGGAGCTTTTGGGCTACTACATTCTTGAGACCATGGAAATTGAAGAGCAATAAAAAATGTGACTATAAAGATGATTTTGAAAAGGAAGTGTTTTTTTGAACATTTATTTTGGCTTTGTCCAGCAGTTGTAGAAGATCAAATTCCCCAATTCTGCCTTTTTGAAGTGTTACAATATATCCCCCCTCCCCCAAAAAATGCTTGCTTCACTAATAAGAAAACTCTTCAAGCCTAAATTGTTTAGGTCTCCTTGAGTTGAAATTGTTCAGGCATACAATTATATATTTTGATAGTTTGATTGGGTCACCAGACTCACCCCCAGACAATGTGCTGCTCTGCAAATTTTATTTGTATGCATTTTTTACATTCAGAATTATTTTGCTGTTTGTTTCAGAGATCATGGTTCAGCCAAGGATTGTCAATGGAAACAGAGTGTCAGATAGAAGAACCAGGCCATACATGGTCAGACTTCAAGATCCCTCCACTACAAACCCTTTCTGCGCTGGATCACTGGTTTCTGTCAGGTTGTGGTGAAACCACAGATTTCTACGCACAATTGTATGAAATGAATGACTACGTATAATGCGTTATTTTTTCTTTTTGAATTCCCAGTTATGTTTTGACTGCTGCACATTGTACTGATGGTGTTGCCCTGGAACGGCATCCAAACACAGAGTTAGTTCTTGGAGACCTTTCTTCTAATGCGATTGATGAACTTGGAGAGCAGCGATTCAGGTTTTCCACAGGAAATGCAATACGCCATCCAAGATGGATTAATTTCAATCATGCATTTGTTTCCCTTGAACTATATGACATGGCTTTCCACAAATTACCAACTCCTGCACGTCTGGACGAGTACACACAGATCATCAGAATTCATACCACCCTCACAAGAAATAATCTGGAAGGAGAAAAAGTAACGGTTTCAGGATGGGGAGCCTTGTTTTTAAATGGCCCAAGTATTAAATTCAACACCTTATTTTTTTGCAATGATACACTCCAGGAATCCTTCTGGAATAATTGCCTTTCAGTTTTCTATTAGAAAATTTGATTAAATTAGTCAAACCCTGATTTAATGTAACCATTCATTCTGGCACATTTTGTGGCACTAAGCAAGGGTGGCACTATGAAAGTTTTTGGCAATATGCAAGGGTGGTACTAACTTGGGGTGCAGGAAATTGAGGGTTGACTGTATCTCATGCAGATGAACTCTTGAGAAATAATTCCTTGTGTATACAATCCTCTTTAAAGATCAAGTGCCACCAATTAAGTGCCACCATTTGTTCTGGCAAATTTTGTGGTACTAAGCAAGGGTGGCACTAAGCAAGTTTTTTGGCAATATGCAAGGGTGGTACAAACTTGGGGGGGGGGCAGTAAATTGAGGGTTGACTGTATCTCATGCAGATGAACTCTCATCTGCATGAGATACAGTCAAGTGCCAAAGATCAAGTGCCACCATTTGTTCTGGCAGATTTTGTGGCACTAAGAAAGGGTGGCACTGTGCAAGGTGGGTACAAACTTGGGGGGCAGTAAATTGAGGGTTGACTGTATCTCATGCAGATGAACTCTCCAGAAAGAATTCCTTCTGTACAATCCTCTTTAAAGATCAAGTGCCACCATTTCTTCTGGCAACTTTTGTGGCACTAAGCAAGGGTGGCACTCTGCAAGTTTTTTGGCAATATACAAGGGTGGCACTAACTTGGGGGGCAGTAAATTGAGGGTTGACTATATCTCATGCAGATGAACTCTCAAAAAAGAATTCCTTCTGTACAATCCTCTTTAAAGATCAAGTGCCACTAATTTAGTGCCACCATTTGTTCTGGCACATTTTGTGGTACTAAGCAAGGGTTGCAATATAGAAAGTGGGTACTAACTCGGGGGGGGGGGGGGGGGGGAAAATTGGGGGTTNGCAATGTGCAAGGGTGGCACTAACTTGGGGGGCAGTAAATTGAGGGTTGACTGTATCTCATGCAGATGAACTTTCAAGAAAGAATTCCTTCTGTACAATCCTCTTTAAAGATCAAGTGCCACCATTTTTCTGGCACATTTTGTGGTACTAAGCAAGGGTGGCACTATGCAAGTTTTGGGCAATGTGCAAGGGTGGTACTAACTTGGGGTGCAGTAAATTGAGGGTTGACTGTATCTCATGCAGATGATGAACTCTTGAGAAAGAATTCCTTGTGTACAATCCTCTTCAAAGATCAAGTGCCACTAATTTAGTGCCACCGTTTGTTCTGGCACATTTTGTGGCACTAAATTAAGGGCCTCATTTGAGAGAGAGGTCCAAAGTTGCCCAACACTCACTAAAATCAACAACCTCATCTAGCAAAGTCCAGAAAATGTATGTCTTTACCCTGCGTCTGAAAGAAAATCTTTTTCGCTCACATTTTAATTGCAGCATTTTCAGAACTTCAAACAGCAGAATTGGATGGGCAATCTTGCGTCGGAGAACGTCATTCTGAAATGAGTTTGTGCTATTCTGGACGCATGGGTACTTCCACAACCTGTGGCGTACGTTTCATACTTGTAAAATTCATCTTTCCAGACTTTATACATTTCACATTCCAGTGTTTCTTTTTTCTTGCATAGGGTGACAGCGGAACGCCTGTAGTGATGGTCATCAAGGGAACTCCCGTGCAAATCGGAGTACATAATTCTGGTACTTGCCTTCCCAACGAATACCCCATAGCTGGGTTCGGGGCTTGGGCATCCTGGCGTGAATACACGGAATTCCTTTGTTCCCCCGATTTCGGAGCAACTTGCGGGAAAAATGCTCTGTTTGTTTCGATTTTGAACTTTATTGCCAGGGGTTGATGATATTCCCTGATGAGATTCGAATCCAATGATGCTGAAAGCGTAAAAAGAACGTCTTGTTTTTGCTGCGTGATCGGGAAAAGCGAGTAAATAAGCTTTCATATCGAATATGCGGAGAGAAATAATTTTAATCCGACAAAAAAAGCAATCTTCAGTGATTTGAAGTCTTTTTTTCTGCTGAAGGAAAAAGCTAATTTCACATTAAATGACTATAGTTGCAATTACAGTACTTTGCTGTAATTAATTAAACCGTGATCATTAAAATTAACGATCAAAATTTTTGGTTCGAAAGAGAAAACAATTAGATAATAATTTTCGCCACGTAAATTTCTCTTCCTAATTCGCGATATACAGTACAGTACTTTTTATCAACCCGCTTTTTTGACGGGCAGTTTCGAAAATGCTTCATAAATTTATTTGGTAAATAACAAAAACTCTGTAATAGAAAGTATTTCCAACCTAAACCCTCAAGTAACACTTGAAAACATGACCCTGGAAATTTCTGTAGCATAAATACTTTCTTCGTGAAATAGAAGAAATCAGAGCATGAAATCAGGCTTCAACTTCTCGTGACGCAGTTTAAGAAACGACCTTCTTCTTTTGTCATCGAATAAAGCGCTCAGTACAATTTAAAAAATTGTCTCCTGAAATTCGTGTCACTTTTTTTACTGATCGTGAATTTTTTATTTGATTGAAAAAAAATGAGCAGTTAAATATTATTCTTGATGGTCGCACACAGAAGCGTCTCATCCCAAAGTCTCCAAAGCAGTGAGTTATTATCAACCAAAAATTTAAAATGTTCAAAATTTAATTGAAAATTATAGTGGTTGTGCTGAAAAATTGGTGCCTGAAAATATTTTCAAACCAACTGTTCAAGATTTAATGCAATTTTCTGCTTTTTTCCGTCTTATAAATCCAGAATTTAGCAAAAATTTCCGCGTTGAAAACCAAGGGAAAAAATACTGTATAAAAAATTAAAATGTCAACAAAATTTAACAAACCACAATATTTAGCAAAATAAATGCCTGTATCTTGCTGGAAGAAAACTATATTTTCACCGCGGTTTTTTTGTATTGGCTGATTTTTCGGGAAACTGCATTTCACTCGAAAATTTCATGAATTGGCAACAAAAAAATCTCGCGTTTGAAGGAATCAACGTCCAGTTTCCGACATTACTTCTAGAAAATATTAAAAGAATCACGATTTAAGGAAAGCTTTTTTTGTTCTTATATATCGACGAATATTGTAATGTGATTTCATACGTATCACACATATTCAAAATACGAGCGTCGTAGTTATTGAGCAAGTCTCACGACTCCAAAGAATACCCCAAAAGATGAACTTCTCAATTTTGAAAATAATAAATTTAAAATATATAATTTAAAATTTCACGAAGCACTCCAAGTTCCCATTGACGAACCAGTGATTGTGGGTGGAACAACTGTGACTGACAGAAAAACACGACCTTACCTGGCAAGACTGGAGAATCCGGCTTCACGGAGAGCTTTTTGCACAGGATCACTAGTTTCTGCCAAGTGAATGCAAAAATTGTTTCCCTGGAGGAAACTCCCTCTCCCGAAAATGGGAGCAAAGGGGAATACGAAATCACGAAGTTCGCGAAGAAAAGCGTTCGAAATTAAGTGTTAATCATAGATGGACGACGATGAAGGATACTTTTTTCCACTTTCCGATATATTGAACACTTGTATTTCACACAGATATGACACTTTCGAGAAATAAAATACATGACGAGTCGAATCACGAGATGAAAAGGTCAAGTCTTTCACAGTGTTCACGCGAAAAAAAAAGAAGTTCAACTATTTCAGCTCGAATAACAGGTAACCGCGATTAGTGAAATACTGGATGCGATCAGGTTTCGATCATGGGAGGATATTAACGACCTAAAAAAAAACAGGTCTTCATATCTGGTTTATTTCAGAGGAGCAGGTTGTTCCGTGTAGTTCGGTTCTGCTGTGCGCTGGCGGAAATATTCGATTTTCTTTCGGGGCAATCGATTAGAATATGGTTGCGGGCGACATCTACTTTCAATTTTATAAGTTCGAACAGCTCGTGCAGCTGAAACCCGCGCGTTTCTCGCTTTGGCCGCGACTAGGGGACTTCACAAGTTCTATGAGTACATTATTGAAATAATTGAACGGAAATTTTTACAGTTCTTGAGAAAAAATACTTGTGGGACCATAACACGAATTGAGAAGAATCGTATTTATTTGTTTGGAATTGAAAAAAAAAATTATATTCATGTCTCATCCAGACTCTGAAGTATTAGTCTAGACCAGTGTTCCCCAGCCCGTGGTCTGCAGCCTTTTTTGCTGGTCTGCAGAAAATTTTCAGCATAATACAGTTATCAAAAGTTGGGATGAAGTCCTTTCTCTTCACCTAAAATTTTGGAAGAACAATGGCAGTTGAATTATCGGATGAAATTAAAAGTTAGCTTTTCTCCTAATAACACTTCAGACAAATTTTCACCTGCTGAAATACAAATTTTGATTTTTCATTCTAAGAACCTTCCTCTGAGCCCACCTTTCTAATTGTTTGATGACATTCCTGACTGATTTTTTCTTGTAAATATCTGTCTAATAACATTCAAGCAAAAATTGACGAGTCTGCAAAAATTTTATGAAACTTTGCCAGTCTGCAGACCATGTTTTGGTCATTTGCACATCTGCAGATATTTTTTTTGGAAATTTGCCAGTGCACTGGCCCAAGAAGGTTGGGGAACACTGTTCTATACAACCCAGCCCAAGTTAAGTGAATGTTTTCTTGAAAATGCCACCCATCTTGTTTCAAATCATCAAACTGAGTGGTATTCAAATGAACAAAGCCCAAATTTGAGTCCAGAAAAGATGCCTTATTTCAAGTCTAGAAATCTTGAATTACTTGAAAACAAATTTTATATACTTTATGTATTTATCAAAACAGAAAATTGACACACAAGACTGATCCCATGAAGTTATAATCATTTTACTTCTTTCTCAGCTACATTTTGCACTAAACCCGCCATGGCCTCCGCAATGCCAGTTGCAGATATTTTCCTAGGGGAAATTTCTTCAGCCATTTTTAAATGAGCCCGGGGAACAGAAATTTTCTGTTCCTTAGTCAAACGCCATAAGACCTTCGGATTGGGTTGATTCCGGGGCCTTTGAAATGTACGACATGTCATTTTTGCCACTTCCAAGAGCAGCCATTTTGAACGACTATGTTCAAATTATCCCGGTGTTCATTGGGTTCTCTAGCAATAATTTCGAAGGTACAACTTTAACGCTTTCTGGATGGGGAATCACTGGAGAATTTCGTGCCGGACGAGGTGAGTTTCAATTAATTAATGTAAAAAAAAAGATTTATTATCTTTTACACCCTCATTTTTGATCATCAGCAGAATGCTTCAGCCTCTAAAATATTTCTGCAGCAGTGGGAAGAAAAATGTTGATCTTCAAACTGCAGTGAAATCATTTTTTTAAACAAGAAAATCATTATAGCATTGCAAATTGTAAAACCATCTTTGCTTCAACAAAACAATCATTTTATTGTGACTTATAGATGTTGCTGATACTTCATGACCTTGGCATAAATGCATAAATCCTGTTGGGCAAGCACACCGGGCATTAATAGTTAATAATTAATATGGATTCCTAGAAACAGAAATCATTCCCCCCTCCTCAAAATTGCTGTAGGATCCTTGACTATAGAATTCCTGACCTATTAAAGGTGTTGAAACTATTGAAGGTTAAATATATTTCTGAGTACTGTTCTACTGTATATATAAGCTGCTCATCTAGATTAGATCAGCATTAGTAGTTGATTTGAGTTATTCATTATCCAACTTATCCTTAGCTGCAAGCTGCAAGAAGAGTTTGCTGAGTTGTTTACCAATTTATCTTGTGAAATACATTTATCCCGTTGAACTTGGAATTCCTACAAGGAACTCCCAGTCCTGACCTGGACTGATTGCTGTGTTTCATTGCATTATTCAACACTTGACATCAACTTATATTATGGTGACATCTGTCCCCAATATAAATTTGTAGCAGAATAGCAGAGCGTGGTTACAATCCATGGGCCACGCTTCTCCAGTTCTCAGATGATATTCTGGGATTTTTAACCCTTGTGTGGCAAAGTCAGGATATATTTGCAAAATTTCATTTCACTGAGAACTGGGAATTTAAAAAATTCAACTTTTATACAAAGTCCTATAAGTTGGGAAAAAGTCCAACATTTTTTCTCTAATCCAGCAGAAAATTTTGGGATGAAAAATAAAAAATCCCTCACTGAGTGGCGTTTTTTTCTGCATTCCTGGCATAGGATCAGCATGGAAGATTCCTTAAAACAAAAGAGAATTTGTCTCCCAGATTTTTTCCAATTTACGCCCTCTCAACCTAAGAGCATTTCAGCAACCTTGGGTCAAACTGAAATGCTCCACCCACAAAAATATCCCAACTTTGCCGCAAAATGGAAATAAACCCTCAGCTGTCCCAGGGTTAAATTAAAAAAATTCATAGTTTAAAATAACCTGTGTCCTTTTTTTTACATTTAGAGACCTGCATTACTTTTGGTTTGGAAAATTCAGTTACTTATAGATCAGATCAAAATTTATAGATGAGAAAATTTTGTTTTTTTTGCAGCATCTGACACGCTTCAAACTGCGCAAATTGAGGGAAGATCCTGCATAAATAACCCTCATGGACCCGCTGATTTGTGCTATGCTGGAAGCGGAGGAACTTCAACAACTTGTAGCGTAAGTTTTCTGAAATATGAAATCAAAGCAATTTTTTTTCTGAATTCGCGTTGACCATTTAGGGCGACAGTGGAACACCTGTGGTCCTAGAAATCAACGGAACAGTCATGCAAATCGGTATTCACAATGCTGGTTTATGCACTTTGTCAACCAAAGGACCAGGAGCTTTTGCAAGTTATCCAGGATAAAAAGAGTTCATTTGTGCCACAGCGAATTGTACTCCACCTTTTAGTCGTAAGCCGGCAACAAACAATAATGGCAACATATCCCGAAAAATTTTGCTGAATTCTTTGTTGATGCAATTTTTCGCATAAAATAAAAAATTGCGAATAATTTTGTTGATGGTTTTTTCCAGCAGCGAAATTACTTAAAGCAGGCATTTAAGATGAAACTATAAGCTTCATCTTATAGCATCACACTCATGAAACTTTTTCAAGATTTAGTTGCAAATTTTTAATCGACCAGATTCATGACAGGAGTTCATTGACCTTTTGGTAAAGCGTATGACAAGAGAAACACGGTTCTCGAAAAAAACTGCGCACTTGGATCGAAACGTCAACAAGAATTTTGTTTAATTTTCTGACGAAGAAAACCAAAAAACACAGAGAGAAATTCGTTCGTCTTTCTCCAGTGAAAAGTTACTCGCATGAACGTCAACAACACCAGACGTCAATCCAGTTTTTTCCCCCAATTTCGAAATCAAAACTCCGATCTCGCACAGTTTTCATTTGTAATCTTCAATATGAAAACATCAACGTTTGTGGCGTTAGTTTTTCTGCTGATTTCGCTGAAGTGTATCCAGTGCAATTCTCCAGGTCGACAAAACTGTAAGTGTTTTATACCAGTGTTCCCCAATCTTTTTGGGCCTGTGGACTAGCAAATTCCCATAATTTTGTTGTTGTTGTGGATTTGTGAATTTCTTGAAAACTTTCTGTGGACCAGTAGCAAAGTTTTATAAAATTTTGGTAGACTCAAAAAGTTTTGCTTGAAAGACTTCATGGCAGGTATTCAAAAAGATTATGCTATTTTTTTAAAAATTGAGTTTAAGAACCAATGCTATAGTGGAATGTTTTCCAACACTTTGAAAGGTGGGCTTGAAAGAAGATTTCTCAGAATTAAAAATTGACAGAATACATTATTTCAATGTATTATTTGCTTGAACGAAGATTTCTCAGAATTAAAATTTGAAATAAATTATTTAAGCAGGTACCATTTTGTCTGAAGTGTTATTAGGAGAAAAGTCAATTTTTTTTTCATCAGATAATTTGAAATGCCATTATTGTCTCCCAAAATTTCAGATGAAGACAAGAAACTTCATTAATACCTTTGATGAATTAATTATGCTGAAGAGAATTTCATCTGGACTGGGAGAAATCTTCTCTGGACCGCACCAGTCCAAAGACCATTGGTTGGGGATCACTATTTTATACAATTGCTCAGGACATGTGAGAATGAAAAAAATCAATGAATTCTTATGCAAATAAAAGCAGATGGAGATGCCCAGCCGGTTATTGCAGGAGGAACCACAGTGACAGACAGAAGAACTAGACCATACTTAGTGAGGCTGGAGGATCCATCCAGACACACTGCACACTGCACTGGAAGTCTCATATCTTTGACGTATGTGCCATAGTATGATGACTTTTTGAACAGGGTATACTGTATTATCATTACAAATTTTTTTAATGTCCCTTCTGTGCGGAATTTTCCGCGGCCCTGCTTTGAAACGGGGCACCAAAACGAAAACCGAAAAAGTAATTTAATCGGTGCATCTAGAGATGCAC